GACAAACCCATTCCATGATTTAAGGAGTGCACGACTTTATATTTCTGTTCGCGTTGTCACTTTGAATTCAAACTCTTTGGGAAAACATGCATAATAGTCTTAATGATCCCATTGAGCAGTTTAAATTCAAATTACGGAGCACTCGCAACACCACACAGGCAACACTTTCCATAAATTACTCTCAAATTCAATATGTCGCTTGACAAAAACAAGAATAAAGGGCTTAAAAAAATCATAAAACATTCTTTAAATTATAGCTTCTCTTTTCTTGTCCAATTTAAATTGTTACGTTGTCGCTAAATTCGTGCTGAAATATCTACATACATGATTTAGAATTCTTTTAAAAGACAGATGTAATTTTACAGTGGGGATTGACCTCAGACTTGAGATCTGTGCACGCTAACGTTACTTCACAGGCCCCTCTCTCTCAGAAGCAATCAGCACTGGTCTAACATCTCCCATCCAAATTAATGGGAGTTTTGCCATTGATTTTAATGGGAGCAGATTCAGAGTCCAAGGCCCGAAGGAACCACCAGACCATCCAGCGTGACCTCCTGCAAAAAAATCACCAACACACTAAATGCAGGCCCCGCTGTGCTATGCAAACATACTGCAGGAGACAGAGCCACTTACGATTGAAATGGACAAGACAGACAAACGGCAGGAGAAAGGGAGTATTATTATTCCATTTTTACCACTGGGGAACTGAGGCACAGAGAGATTAGGGGAATACTTTCAAAACCACATTCACCTAATACACCTTAAGAGTTCAAGGCCCACTGAAAATTAATGGGACAGTCTCCTGAGTGATTTTACTTTTTTTTTTACCCTAAGCGATTTCTCCGGGGAAGTGACAACACCAGGAAAGAGAAAATAGGGGAGCCTGCAGCTGAAGCAGGAATCGAACCCAAATCTCCGGAGTTTTGGCCCGGCGCCTGAAATACAGCACCGTGTGACTTCCCCAGTTCTAGGTAGAGTTGTTAAAAACGGAAGGGCAGTTCTGGCTCATGACAACGTTGCTCTTTTGTTATTTCACTGCTCATGGCTTCCAGCCCCCTAATTTCTGATGTTCTTCTCTGAGGGCCCTCGGCTTTGACTACTGAATATTTCTGGTTTGCCTGAAGAATTCTTTACGCTTTCTCCCATCCTCTTCCCCAAGGCACCCAGCCAGCTCCATCAAGGCCCGATACTTGGTGACCTTGACACTCAGACAACAGAGGGAAATCCTGGGAGGGTACTCAACATCTTATTGCCGGCAGTGGCAACGACAGGTGCTCAGCATCTCTCAGGACTTGGCCCTACAGATCATTTATCACTCACTGTTACAACCGGGGAGTGATTGCCAAGAAACAGGGATGAAGAATGCAAGGAAATTTCCAGGTCCCAGAGAAAGTCATCAGGACATCAAAAAACACTCCCATTTGCAAAACAGCAGCATCCCCTGCCAGACCAGTATATCTGGCTAACCTTGCGCTCAGTCCTTATGGTAATACTGTAGTTGGAAAGGAGACAGCTGGCACGGCTCTAACATCTTGCTCTTCAATCTTTTATGACAATGTTTGCAATATTCCCCTTAACCTCTTCTTTATACGAAGCCCAATGCAAAAACCGAGCAAGCAAACCAAAGGCTTTTGGCAGTAAATTGTTCTGTAAGGGGGAAAAAGTATATTAACATTGACAACAGATTGTTGCCGCGCTACATGGCTCACGTATCGGAGGGTCTAGTTAGATCGGAGACATATTGTCAGATTTTAGGGGTTAGATTGACTGTAGTAGTGATAGGGAGTGACACATTGCCCGATGGTAACACTTCGCTTATCACAACTGCTTTTAACTGAGCGCAGGTGTCTTGATGGAGGGAGGTTGGTGGTGTTTTAGGAATAAAATGAATAATACTGAGCAAAAGCATGAGCAACAGAATTAAAAATGCATGTGTAGCATTTAGCAATTGCAATGCAATAGTCGTCGGTCTGTATTAAATGCTCTCGTTTGGGTGCTTAAAAGTTAGGAACTAATTCTAGGGTCAAACTCAAGTTCTCAAGACCCGGGTGGCATTTTTTTTTCTGAGATGGGGATAAGGAATTGTTTCAAGGGGTGAGTGACTGCAGTAGGTTTTGGACCTGACCCTGTTTGAACATTTTGTGTTAAGAGGGGCAATGATAAACAAAACCAGAGAGATACCTTTGCAGGCTTTTATCGTCAATATTGACCAGTAGCATAGGGTAAACATGGGTAACTGGAGTTTACCTAACTTCTCACTGGGGGAATATGTACTTTAGTTTAGGTTAGTTTACTCACTTCTTTTTTAAACACCAGATCACTGATATTGACTAATTAAACAATTTCTGTTGCAACCTTAACTATGGCTTCACTACTGCTCCCCCACCACAAGAGTAACATCGGAAACATTTGCCAATTTTTAATTGTTCAAAAACATTTTATTTGCCTGTGGCCTGACTATGCAGACACACATGGTGCAATCACTCAGAGCAAACTATCAGAAGAGCAAACAGTTCCTGGTTTATAAATCTGGATGAGGCAAACACTTTTTTGTCTTCTTTCATCTCAGAGAGGCAGCCTGGTTTAGTGGTTTGAGTATTGGAACAGAAGCCAAGAATTCCTGGGGCCGGAACCTCCGGTGGTGTTAATTGCGGTAGCTCTCCTGAGCTATGCTCATTTATGCCAGCTGAGAATTTGGCCTCTACTTTCTAAGCCTGGTTCAGTCGCTGATTTGCCGTGCAGCCCTGGGCACATCATTCAGGCCCCAACGTAGCAAAGCGCATAGTGTGAAACTGACGTTCAAGGAGACTTGGACTCCAGAGTTGCTTTTGAAATGGCACGTAGGCTCTGAAGTCAGCTAGGCATGTTTTGAAAATACATGCTTATGTGCCATTTCAGACAAGGTCAGACAATGGGACTTAGGCACGGGCTTAAAGTCCAGCACATGCTTAAGGGCTTTACTGAATCAGATGTCAAACTCTTGACTCCAGTTTCCCCATCTGGATGTTTAAAATCACTGCCCCTATTTATGTCATGCTATGGGTATGTAACGCCATTAATGTTGTTTTCACATCAGCAACAGACTGGATTCCTGGGAGTGTTTTGTGCCAGGCCTTTAAGCTTCTTTTTTTGTGGCTTGTGCAGGTGAACATTTAAAGGACACTTTTTTTTTTTTGCCTAATCATTTCAAAGAAGCTATAAAAATAAAAAGTTTATCCTTTCCTCTGTGTTCAAAGCTGTAGTGTGGAATTTACTATTGCAGATGCAGCCAAGCAATTATCATTGCTTTATCCCTTAAAAAGATAGAAGATAAATTTGAAAGAAGATGAACAGAATCCTTCTGTATTTTTCCTCTCATCCTTTTATCTCCCAACGTAGGAAGTTTACTGAACCCTTGCCAACAATTCACTCAGGCTAATGAAGTGTATAAGTAATAGGATTAAATAATCTCAACCCATTATTACAGTGGCTAATGCAGATGTTCTCCCAAACTAAAGCAGATGCGCAGTGAAGAAATCATCCCTGGTTTAAAAAAAAAATCGTATGAACCTACTAGCAGATCCCAGCCCGAAGTCAATGAGACATTTAACTTCAGTGATATAAAGCACTGCCCCAAGTGTATTACGACACACCTTGCAATGAATTATGGTCTCCTCCCAAGGGCCAACACACGTGCCACAAAATTAACCTTAAAGATTTGATGGCACAATAATTTGAATGCTAACATTAAAAGGAGAAATGGTTTAAAAGCACATATTCAATCAAAAAATCATTTAGTTTTTAAGAGCCAATTAACCGGGACCATCCACCATTGCCACTGTAAATAAGGCAGCATCAATCCTCCATTATTGCCTTCAACACTTTAGCGATAATCCCACTGCAAAGGACATGTCACAATGGCAAGGCATAATGAGGCATTGTTACCATGCTCTGAAGTAGTAATGATAATAAATAATAAAAAAGTGATGAAAGAACGTTACCGAGGAACTAAAGCTTTTAGCAAGTAGCAAATGGGTTTCAGATACCGGGTCTCATGAAGGCCTGATTCTGGGAAGTGCCCAACCCTCATTTCCCCCCTGACATCAATGTGAATGCGGGGTGCTCAGCATCTCATGGGAGGCACTCAGCTCCTTGCAGGACGGGCTCCTCAGCTTGCAAAGGAAACTCGACGTTGGGGGCTTAGTTACCCTGGCTGTAGCCCCTCACCTTGCAATTAGGGGAGAATAAATATAACTGAGGGATGTTTGACAAAAGCCAGTGTTGAGAGAAAGGGTTCTAGGAATTAGAGAGAAATCTACACAAAGATGATTCATTGATCTCCACAGAATTTTTCTGCGATATTCTGCAGCTTCGCTTATTCTAAATACAGGGATTATAACTAATTTTTTCACCCAAACCGTCAAAATACCAGGGTATGCTAAATGCAGACTCTTTAATGGGTAATGGGTGAACCGCAAAAGGCATCTGGATTCAAAGGCCCTTGAAACTGGTTGATGGACTCCTCCTGATTTCAAAGGGCAATGGATGGGGCCTAAAGTTTGGATGCTGTTCGGCGGCTTTTATCGTCTTGTGGGGTTGCAAAGTTACATCGTGATCCTTCAGTCTCCCCCCTCCTTCAGTGGGAGTTTTGCTGACCCAAGGACTTCAGAATCAGGTCTCTTACAGTGGAAAGCTTTTGGGAACAGGGCTTTCTCCTAAGAGTGCTGTTACTTCTCTTCCCAGCCAGGCTGAGATTATCACAAGAATAACTTCTTTCTATTTTGGCATGTTTGTTTCAAGGCTTGGCTGGACACCAGAAATCATGTGCAAGAGGGAAAGGGGGATTTTTTTTTAACTTGTTTCTGAACATCACGGATGGGTCTGTTCTTACTCTATGCAAGTTGAGTTGCTCACCCTTAATTGTACGGCAATGCTGCAATCTACAGTAGGGAGGGGAGTATCGACAGATGTCTAAACTCTGTTGGTTTGTATTCACATTGGAAAGGAGCCTCGGCACTTACGATGTAGCAGGGTTCACAATACGCTTTCTTCTCCACCGCGTAGAAAGGCTGGCCTCTGAGCTTGTTGCCACAGGTCATGCAGGTAAAACATTCCACATGGAACACTTGGTCCATGGCGGTGCAGCCAGTGCCTTCCCCGACAACGTTCTCACCGCAACGGGAACAGCGGCCTGGGGGGAAAGAGAGGAGAAGAGATGTCATAATTATCTCAAAGTGGTGAATATGGCGTTTCCGGGGTGCTAACTTGAGATACAATGTCACAACATGGTCATGTACAATTCCTGCCCTCAGCCGCAAAGAACAATCTCATGCCTAGCAAAGATTTGCACGTTCTGGAGGATCAGATGGCTCTGGGGCCGGACCCCAGGCTCTGGTGCCTTTCACTTGTATGTCATCACATCGAATGCAGCCCATACCAATGGGGACTAACACTCGTCACCTATGGGAGGCTGTTTGGTGGTCTACATGAGCAGTCTCAATGCAGCTCCCTGCATTCTCACCCCAGGAACCGCCAACGCAGTGCGCACCATTGGTGGGGGTCGCAACAAAGAAATTAAGGCCTGAATGGCTAGGGAGATTGCAACACCTATCTCTTGCGCTGCGGGCTTACAGTTCTACAGAAACAGACAATCCAGGGCGCACACACAGAGACAAGACACGGCAGGCACGGACAACGGACCGGGCTTGGAGAGCCTGATGCAGAAGTGCTTTGTGGGACGCATGTTTGAAAGGGGAGGGAGGCTGAGTGAAGTTGCTTAGCTCACGAGAAAGGGCACTTCCGAAAAGAAGCCTGTGGTACAGGCGCTGAAAAGGGGAAGGTGGGAGTACTCAACGCAGTGACAAGCACAGCTCCGAGGGACATCGCTCATTTCAGCCCCACTCTGCTGTTCCACGCTGCTGATTGCTGATGTTCCACACCGCTAGCATTCAGCGTGGATAATGATTTAGCTCAGACATGCAGAATTATGGAACAGAGATAGTGCCAAGTTCTCAGCTGGTGAAATTCAGCATAATTCCACAGAGTTCAATAGAGCAATAAAGATTTACAGTAGGGTGACCAGACATCCCAATATAATCAAGACTGTCCCAATATTAGGGGCTTTGTCTTGTATCGGCAAGGCAACTATACCACCCCCCCGAAAAAAGTGTCCTGATTTTTCGCACTTGCTATGTGGTCACTCTAATTTACAGAAGCTTAGGTTTCAACCCCACTAAAGGAGGAGATTTCATGGACATATCTAGTTTCCTGCAAGAATAATTTCTGTGTCCCTCCTTTTGGGTCTTGTCAGACAGTATTATTTATAATTTGTATTACTATAGCACCTAGAAGACACAGACACTATGGACCAGGACCACCTGGTGGTAGGCGCTGTACAAACGCAGAACAAAATCACGGTCCTCGTCCCAAAAGTTTCCAATTTAAATACAAGACAAGAGACGACGGCTGGATAGACAGGTGGGGGAGCAGAAGGGAACAGTGGGACAATATTGCATCACACATTTGGGACTTGGCAAGTGGAGTGAGACGGTTGCTAGGGAAGTGAAGACTATGCAAAGAGAGCAGGACGATGGCCAGGAGATAGCTGTTCAAATGGTATCACACATTCAATTGAAATAATTAAATAACCCAACCACAAAACGGGCACTAATTTAGTGGCGCGTGTGTATCTGTCTTAAAAATTAAAACCCCTGTAAAGTTTAATAAAAAATCTGCCTGCTCAATTGTCCAGGTGGCTGAACTGTCTACAGCTGTGCATGGAAGAGATGATGACATTAATACCCGTGCGCTTACAGCTTCTTCACTGCCTGTCCCAAACTAGTGCATGGTGCTGTTGTGCTGGGCAAGCGCGTTTCAGCAGCAAGTAAAGCAGATCCAGGACATAAATCATGGACGGCACTTTAAGACCCTTCAGGATGAGGGCAAGGTGATGTTTGAGAGCTCTTAGGAGAGCTTGGAATGGAACCCAAATCATTCTTATTTGTGAAGTTGCATCAGTGTAGTTGGCGCTGTGAGGGACATAATACAGATCCCGCCACAAAGAGCTTACACTCTGTGCAACCCGGTGGGAATACTCTAGGTCAGAGAGCAGATAGGAGCACACTAGGAAGCCCAGCTGGGGGGATGTGACAGGGTGGGGGAGACCTTGTCTAGTGCAGTACTGAATGGGCCCTGGACCTCTGACTTCCGCGGTCCGGGGCTCCAGTGGTTCCGTGGCAGGAGCCAGCAAGGAGCATCCTTCCTCTCCAGCAGTCAGCCCAGACTGTGCCGGGCTGCTCCCTCTTATACTGCTGCTACACCTGGAGCATGCCTGGTAGGGACGTAGGGGCGTGGCTTCCTCTACCCACTGTGAGGAGTTAACCCTTCCCCGTCCGGTGCAGGGTGAGTTCACCCTGTCACAGGGAAATAAATAGATTTTTTTCCCTTTAAGCTTAGCTTTGTAGATCAAAGAGCCCTGTGGCACCTTATAGACTAAGAAATGTATTGGAGCATAAGCTTTCATGGGTGAATACCCACTTCGTCAGACGCATGCATCTGACGAAGTGGGTATTCCCCCACAAAAGCTTATGCTCCAATACATTTGTTAGTCTATAAGGTGCCACAGGACTCTTTGGTGCTTTTTAAAGATCCAGACTAACATGGCTACCCCCTGATACTTTATAGATCATTCACTCTTGGTACCCTGATTCACAGCCCCATGCTCTAACCACTTCACTATGCTTCCTCTTACACGGACGTCCCTTGCCGTGCTGGGAGAGGAGTAATTTAGGGTGTGGTATGTGGTGAGAAAGCGGTGGAAAAGCTTCCTAACAAAGAGGACCATGGAGCAGTCTCTCTGCAGCAAGGAGACAGATGAAATGGACTAAAAAGGTCTTTTTCATCTGTGACATGACAGAGCCCCCCGTTACCCTCCCTTCTCTGGGTGGACAAGGCCAAGAGTGCTCAGTGATCTCATCCAAAGTGCTTACGCAGCATTGCTGTAATAAGAAGTGATGTCTGGGGAGCAGTTAATATCTCTCTATACAAAACATGAAATTGAAAGCCATTAGTGTATTACTTCACACAGTGTTCTTCCCGAGGGACTATTCTCCAGGAGAATTTAACCTCCCCAGTGTGCCGTTCTGTGATCATCCGGTATCATTTTTATGAGGCATTTGGACTCAGAGTAATGTAATGTCTATGCAAACACTTCTCAGTTTCCTTTGTTAACATGTGAATGGAACATGCCGCATCGGATTTTCCCCCTTCTTCCATTCATCATTCAGCCAGTTCCCATGCACTTGAATATACCTCTTCCTCCGGCCAGTGTGTCACTTTCATTTGCTACAGCAAGCTATTTGCAGGCTACTTTCCCGGTTAAGGCTCTGGACTGGGACGTGGGAAATCTGGGTTCATTTCCCAGCTGAGCCACCAACTGCCTGAGTTGGAGCAGGGATTTGAACCAGGTGCTCACATACTATTACAGGGGCCAGGGAAGTACTTGGTTGCTCCTAAGGTTTTCCTCCAGGACTTCTGATGTTCTAGCTTTCTCCAGCCCACACAGCTTCAGCCATTCCGGGTTTTTCCACAGAAATTCCCATCCAGGTATTAGCTGAGCCTAACCCATCTTAATTTATTAGTGGTTCCCAGCTTTCACTCTTACGTCTGAAGACAGAGGTGCTGCTGGACCCAGTCACACAGGAGAGCTGAAGGGCCCAAAGACGTCTTCATAAGTCTGTGCGTAAACTGGGATCCTGCGGGACGGCTGCATGGCATGAGGTGCAACGGGCAGGATGGATGCTGGGGATCAGGAGATGTAAGGTCTGTTCTCAGCTCTGCTACCGGTAGCCGGGGAGAAAGTCACTTAAGCCAAAATTTTCAGACCTGGAAGCCTAAAGGTTGGTTTCTAAATCCATATTTAGACATAGAAATACATACAAGTGCCCTGATTTTCAGGATTTGTGGGTGTTCACTACTTCTGAACCCTCCCCCTCCCACGCCACTTCTGTGTACTCATGTGCCAAAATACAGACTTAGGGTCCCATCTCTAGGCCCCCATGACTGAAAACATTGGCCGCCTCTGGGCCTGGTTTTGACCAAAGCTGAATACCTGTAGCCCCTGGGAAGTCAATGGAAACTGCAAGCACTGAATACCGTTCAACATATGGCCTCTTTTTAGCTGGAACCTCTATGGCACAATCAGCCTATGAGACGAAAAAAACAATCCATGTGACAGATAATGCACTCTCTACTATTGTTGCTGCAAAGAATGAAGGTATACTTTTCCTGCGGGCCAACCACACAAGACCATCGCTAATTGTGAACAAATTTGTGGCTAGATTCACCTCAGTTAAAGACCCCATGTTTCCTTTCTCATTATTTTCCCACTGCCTGCAACCAACTAGTTAATGTCTATACCTGAGTCCAAGTAGTATTACTTACCAGGAAAGGCTAGGCACGCAAAACTCGGAGAACAAACAGATTGCACACAACGATTACAAAAACAACCTATGAGAAAAATAGTGGGTGGCATATTACAATAGCAACACAGAACAACATGACCCAGTTGCTTCCGACAGAGACAAAGACACAGACAGCCCTTTAAAGGCAGGTTAAAGACAAACGACGAAACTAACATTAAACGTCACCAAGATGGATCTGTGCAGCGTCACCATTTTCTTTTCCCCCCTTCTAGCTTTCTTTTCCCCAGCGCTGCTGAAATGGGTTGTATTGGCAGCCACTCTTGGAGTTCTCCAATGCCTGGAGCGGGTGCAGCACGGCCAGGGCATGCTTCCTTCAGGCTGCCCCAACTAATGGGCCTCAGTCTTAACCTGCAGGGACAGGTTTTATGGGGAGTTCAGTCTGTGTCCACTGAGAACTCTCTGAGGAGCTGCCAACAGCAGGGGCCACTATGGGTGATAGTTTCATAGCGGAAACTGGTGGACAGCAACAGCACCAGCCTTTTCTTCTGTCACTTTCCTAACTCAACCCAAATCGGGTCTCGGTTACACAAAGCTCTGGAGTATTCTGACATGGGTCCAGGGAGGTGGAGTGAAGCCCCAACTAAGCCACCTGCCCTGTCCCTACTACTGCTGGGAGAGCTCTCCTGGAAGTGTCTGCTTTCTCCCCTCCCCCTGAACCTGACATGACTGAGGGAGAAGCCCGCACGGGTCCCCGCGCGCCTCTTCCCCA